ATCTTAGGTTTACCATAATAGTGGCCCCACTACAAATTCAATCAAAGCCAATATCAAGCCATACAGCAATGTAAAGCCAAATGAAAACAAATATCAAATAATAAATTCCAATTCCAATAAAGCCACACAAACCACATAAAGCCATGGCATTGTATTAGTATATAAATTACAACTTAATAGATATCAAATGCGATAATATATCATCAAATCTATTAAGTGCACCGTATACAATTAAATGACAACAAATCCATGTCATTTCTAACATATACATCAATATATGTCATCATGAAATTTATTCGATGCATCAACTTTAGTATACCGTTATTCATGGGTTGCAGTTACATTCATTATTTTAAAATTTACACAATGTAACGTTTCCTTTAGTAACCACCGACTAAAATGTAACCAAACGATGCTTTCAAATAAATGTCTATATGCATTAAAAATACATGATGCCATGTATAAAAGAATAGATCCAGAATTTCCAATTTTTTCACTTCAACCGATGCAATAATTCACTACAGATTTATCCGTAATGAAAACACAAGAGGCTATCAAAAAATGTGCATCAATATCAAAGAAGTATATCAAGTAGCGTACAAGATACCAACAATTGATCAAAAAACCAAAATGAAGGCACGACCCTCGAGAAGTCACTATTCAAAATCAATATGACAAACCCAATATTACAATAATCTTTGTACAAAAATTCGAGAGTACAGTGTTGAAAATTTCACATGCCATTCAAAAGCAATATGCATGGACACAAAAATCGAGACAAGTAATATATCTCAAAATCAAAAAGAAAACCTGTATCCAAACTATAGCACACTAGCCATTATTCGCCATGCAATTTTGATCATATATATTATCAAAATCAAAATCGGTGCATGACTTTTGAGAAAACAAATTGCACGACAATCGAGATGACATTGTGAAAAGAAAAAACAACAACGTGTACACCAAAAGAAAAACAGTATCGGTTCAACAACAAAAAATCGCTATTCAAGTAATAGGACAATCGTATATTATTAATAAAAAAACCTATACTTGAATACGCAAATCAAGATGCCAATTAAAACACATGACTTCCAATATTCAAATAGATGAATATTCATGAAAAATCGATCCTGATCAAAACTAAAATCACATATTATTTATAAAATATCAAAATAGATATTTCCCATTTGAATGTTTACAAATCAAACACTCAATATTTCTGTTACACAAACAGAATCTGAAATTAATCACACAGATTAATTAATTGCACAGATTAATCATACAAGAATTAATCACACAGTAAACTAAACAGAAACAGTATATAAAATAAAAAACAGAATATACTGATCACAGGTTCAAAACACCAAATTGTCTTAAGATTGTTATTGAAGACAGTGGGTGATGTTAAATCACTAAGAGGTTTGAACCCATGAATAAACTAGAAGGGAGTAGATGATCAGAATTGTCACTGTGCAATTAAAAATATTAAAAACAGACTTACTTGATATGTGTGAAACAGACAGAGTCGGAAGAATGAAAAATGCAGTATTAGAGGAATAAATCCGAGCCCACAGAACGTGTCTCCTTAAGACAATTTGCCCCCTTACTGATGCCCAAGGTTGATGGACACTTGTCTCCCAGGATAGAACGGATTTCGTCTGAAGAATGGCGGCACTACCAATCAACAGCCCAAACGAACACAACAATATGCCAGAGGAAATCACACCGGAGTATGAAAAGGAATATGCAAAATCGGAAGGAGAAAAATTCCGGCAGAGTTTCAGTGCAGAAAATTGGATCCATTTTATGAAGGTGTCAGTGTCTATTTATAGACAACGTAAAGTCACGTTCCAAAAGGCACCTATTCGACGACGAAACAACACATCCGTTGGACACGAAAAGACACATTCGTTCGACACGAAAAGACACATTCGTTCAACACGAAAAGACACCCATTCAAGGATGAAACAACATGTCCGTTAGGATGAAACAACATGTCCGTTAGGATGAAACAACACATCGTTTAGGATGAAAAGATACATCTGTTTGTCGACGAAAAGGCACACATTTTCACTACCAAACTTCTTATTCATAACCAATATATTGTCTACACAATATATATATATATATATATATATATATATATATATATATATATATATATATATATAAATTCCAACAATTAACTCATAACCTCAAAGTGTGTCATTTATTATTTTATTATGCGGGTTGACATGATATGATAGAACACGAACAACTTGTCTACAACATGACACAAATAACCTGTATGAAGATTAAAGTGAGTCAATTTCAAATTTACGAGTTGATACGCAATATTACACGAATTTTTTCGTGTTAATTTTTACTAACAAGAATATGACACAAATTATAAAACGAGTTGACCTCAATATGGATTTTTCGTATTGTGTCAGCGAATCGTATTTAAATTTGTTATCCCTAACCACTACCTACGGTTACTAAATGTAGAAGAATAATTCAAATACAAATAACTATCAAAGACTAAGTCAGTTTAACAGCAATACAATAACATGATATAATGTAGTATCAGAGCACATAACAGTTACTTCGTAACATAGCCAGCACTCTTTGTGAACAAAATTCTTGTGCAATATATATAGGGAATTATTTTTATTATGTTACATAACATAAAACTATCTTCCTACACACACAAATTTTATATGGAACCCACTTTAAATTTTTTTCTTTTTTATTCTCTCTCCTCTCTCTTCCTTTTGTGAGAGTAGGAAATTTATTTTTATGTTATGTTACATAACAAAAACAATTCCCATATATATAATTTGGTTTTGGTTTACATTGGATTTATTTTTAAAATGAATCTCACGGATCAAATTTCATTAAATTTTTTATTCAATTTTTATTTTATATGATTCTAAACTTTTGAATATTTTTTAGGAGAAAGATTATACTTAGTGCAATTTCAACCTTGATACTCTTGCAAACTGTTCGGTTATCGTTTAACTAATTTGAAATCAATGGTAGTTATTTTCTTGTTCTTTTTCTTTTTCAACTGTTAATTTCAAATTAATTCAACGATAATTAAAAAAATTATAATAGTGATACGTCTTAAATGGTAATAAATACAACTATCCCATTTTTTATTGTATTAGTTTTGTTTTAAACGAAGAAACATCTAATATTTAGAATTTTCAGTAGATATTTCATTTGAACAATGCCAACATTGTCTAAAAAGAGGTCCTGTGTCTGAGTAGGGGTGGAATGAGGGAAGGCTAAGGCTAGCAATCTAGCATTGGCAGGCGCCCTCTCTAAATTTTAATTTTTATATTATTTTATGTGTAAAATAATATTTTTTAAATAATAATAAGCTATTACTACTAATAGTTAGCCCCGCTCTTAAAAATATTTATAATTTAAGAATTTTGTTTTTGTTCTTAATTATAAAAAATCCTAGGTGCCACTGTGTCCGAGAAGCTTTTATGAAGCGTATACGTGAAAGATGTGTGAAGCAGTAAAGGGCGGGTGGTGTTCTAGAGGCTTTTCTATATAGTATGGATGTTTAATTGAAAATCAAAAATTAATTTAACGCAAATTAATTTAAGCTGGTTTGTGATTAAATTAAATACATCAAATATCAATTTGAACCAGTTGAAAAAAATACTAAATTTAAATTTAAATAAATTTTGTCATAATAAGATAGAGTGTAAATAGAGATTATAAATGTATTTTTAAATTAATTATCAATTTAATAATATATGATCACATCTAAGAGATTGAATTAAGTTTGGTTTTAGGTCTTATAGAAAATTCTCTAAACATTACAAGTTATACAAAAAAAAAAAACATTACAAAGCTTTGATTCTTTTCTTAATCCTAATATTAATCTCATTAACAACTTTAATTAAATCCAATTAGTTTTTTTTTTGCCTGCAAAGAAGCAATAATTTCTAAGCTATTACAATTGGTGGATTTTGTTGGATGGAATGCTTACCAACCGACATCCGCCCCCTCTAAATAAAAAACATGTATATACCCCTAAAAAAAATATATAGTATATTTCATTTTCTGTAACTGTTTGTACATGTTTTTTGATTTTAGATTGTGATTTTTCTACTTTTCACTATTGACATGGGCACATAACAATGAAACAACCTATGTTAAAATCGTCAATTCAGCATACTTGTTAAATTATATCTTATTTGAAATTCTATAAGTTGGATTTGTTAAAAATTTTGCCCCCCCTCATAAATTTTTGGGTCTGCTACTCCTTACCATTAGGGCAAAAATTATATTTGTTAGTTAGGGTACAATTTTTTTACTTATCTCTCCCAATCCAACTGTCATGGTCTAATTCTGACCCTACATTGAACCTTGTCAAGGCAAGACGTTAAATATGTGGAATAGTGATCATTTTGTCACGTTTGGACAAACAAATTACCAGACTGCCACGTTAACAGTAAATTTTGTCAAAATGCCACGCGGCATAGTTCGCTACACAGTGTAGCGAAATATGCCACGTTAGAACCAAAAATGCTACATGTCAAATTTTGAGAAATTCCCTACACTGTGTAGCGAATTACTTGCATGCATAATTCGCTACACTGTGTAGCGAACTATGCCGCGTGACATTTTGACAAAATTTACAGTTAACGTAGCAGTCTGGTAATTTTTTGTCTAAGCGTGACACTTTGATCAGTGTCCCTAAATATGTTAGAGACGTTATCCTCTCTAACATATTTAAGTAATTTATATGGAAATTATATATTCTAACTTTAGTACCATTATTATAAAAAAAAAATTATAAAAAAAAGTGAGTGAAAAGTTAAGAATCAAGATGTATAAGCAGGCCCAAAAACTAAGAAGGCCCAGTCTATCTTGTTGGTACTACAAGGGCCCATGACATTTGACATTCTCAACCTACTCAACATAAAACCTTTGTTCACTCCAAAATGTGTACAAGGTTCACTGCCTCCACAACCAGGAAGCTCCTCTCTCAAAATTTCACCGATAGTTCGTAGTTTTCGAACTTTATCATTTGCCTAAACCATTTCATGACGTTGCCAACTTGCTCTTTGTTCTTCTAAACCCTCTTATTCAGTGAACTCAAACTGTTATTTGCTTTGTTACATTTAAAATTCATGTGGGGGTGTTCTTGCTTCTGTGAGGGGTTTTGAGATTGTTGAGGAAGTGTAAGAGAGTGTTGAAATTGTGAAGAATGTCCACTGAGGAAATTTTAAGGCAGAGGCTTAGAAAAAGGCCTACACTTTCAGTGAGCACTTCCAGGAACTCTGTTAGAACTAGAAAGGGTGAAAGTTCTTATGACAAGGATGGGGTTTGTGATAGAGAAAATGGGTCTAAGGTGAACTTGAAGAAAAGGGTGAAATTTAAAGGAATGCAATCAGGTGAAGAAAGGAGTGGAAGGGGGTTTCGTCAGAGAGGAAAGTTGAGAGTTTTGGATTCTTATGGGAGGAATAAGAGAGTGTATGCTAAGGAGGGAATGGATGAAAATGAGAAGTTATGGAATGGTGTAGCAGCATCTTCCAAGAAGAAAACTTTATTTAAGAAAGGGGAGAAAAAGGTGAGAGATGAACATGTTGAAGGGAAAATCAACCACCGTACAATGTGGGTTCCTGGTAAATCAAGGAATGCAGGCTCCAAAGGCAAGCATTATACTCATGATGTGAAGGACAAGAAGGAAAATGCTGGCTTAGCTACTGTTAAACAAAAAGCCAAGGCAAAGGAGGTTGGTAGAATGGGATTTGTTGGGACAGATGATCATGGGAGTGGTTTAATGAAGAAAAATAGAGAAAAGAAGTGTGAATTCAGCAAGGGGAAAAGCCATGAAATTGTATATCCTTCAAGTTCTTCCAAGAAAAGAGCCCGAGATAAAGGTGGAATGGATGATGATGCTGAGGTACTAGATGATCGGCCAAAGAAGAAGAAAAGGATAATAAAGATTGACCCACATGATATCTCAAACAAGAGACTAGATGATTGCATTGGTGTTAATGGTTAGTAATTTCTCTTCCTCCATTTGCATAATCAATGGTGCTGTTTGACATTTCTATTTTATTTGTTTTTATGCTTATATTTGCCTTAGGAACTCTAAAATGTATTGTGAAATCATACCGGTGATAGGGAGAACTTTGGTAATGATTGTAAGTTTTTGTAAATGGTAATTAATGTATGTTTTAATTCATAATAATTCAATAGTGTTAGTAATCGAACACCCTTTTCTTTGGTGTATAAGATATGTGAATGATGGTAGCCATGAGCTGAGTTTTACAGCTATACTGAGACAATGGTTTACATTTATTTAGAGAAGACAAAAACAACTGTATAATTCTAAATTTGTGACAATATGAAAAACGGTTTAAATGGCATGCGTTATAGGAAGAAAAATAAATTAAAGGGCCGACCCAGTTCAAATACCCACTTCGTGAGTGTCTGGGGAAGGGAATACTCTAGGCAGTCTTTCCCCTGCTTTTTGCAGAGAGGCTGATTCGAACCCGCGACCTGACACACCACGGCAAGCAAGCTTACCGCTGAGCCAAGCCGGCCCTTCAAGAAAAATAAATTACTAGTGAAAAATAAAGTTCTTTTTATTTAGTATTGCTAAGAAGGTTTATGTTATTCATACCACCTTTCACCTTTCTCATGAGCACAAACGGCAAAATTAAATTAATATTTCACTGGAGCTGCTTTAACTTTTTCTGTAGTCTGTACACCCTCGATTTTACTCTCCTGTGAGCAGAGCATCTAATCTGTTAATTGTGTATTGAGAAATATAAGTATGAAATTTATATATACTAAGCTAAATTACATTTGCAGATTTACGGCAAAACTAAAAACACTATTTTAGGTATTTAAGTGTGCCAATAAATCAATTATTATAAGGGTTTAATAAGAGTTATGTTGTAGGAAAAGTGATTGTGTTATGTTATAGAGATTCGTTTTGCGTGCCAGAGTTTTTTTTTTTTTTTTTGGTTTCAAAAATTGTGGGTCCCACAAAATGTTATGTGTGTAGGAAAATTGTTGTGGTCATGTTAAATTATAGATACAAAACCCTTATTATAATTTTGGATGAGGTTGAAGGTTGAAACCAAACCACATGCTTAATATCTGCTTTGTGTATTATCTGTATTTTCAATTTATAAGTTAATAGAAAGATGCACAAGAAGAGCTATCATTTAAGGGATAGAAACACCAGATTATTGTCCTTCCCTGAACATTTATGTTTTCTGTTTGAAGTTCAAATGCTAACTATCTTTCGACACTGTTTGTCTGCAACACATCAGCAAATGCTTGTTTATCTCGAATGGTATGCTTTTTATGGTCTACATGAGTACCTTGAGGATTTCTTCCCTTTGATTCCCTAAGTTAATTTCAGGAAGTACAGAAGAGAAGAAAAAGGAGTCTGAGAAAGAGCCCAAAATGTCCAAAAATGCTGAGTTCCGTGCAATACAGCCTAGCCCTGCAATACTTTCCTTTGTGGAAAAAAATGTAATTTGTATGAGCAGGGACTTTTGCTTGTTGTGTTGATTATGTTGTTCCATTGTTGTCGTTCGTGAAGGTATTTTGATTTCTGGTTCTATGGTTATTATTCACAGCTGTTGGGCAGGAGACGCATGATTGACTTAAGAAGGGCAGGCTACAATATAGATCTTTCTGCACCACTAGATAATATTCCCTTCTCTACCAGTTCAGAAAGAGAGAGAATTGAAGAAAATGTATGTGGCTGTATAATGCGTTCAAAAACTATAATATACACTTTTAGAATAAGCAATGCTATTACTTTTAACTATTGTTTCTTCTCCTTCTTAATGTTGACATTCTGTTCTGATTATTTGAGACAGATTTTTAGGAATAAATTTGAGTTTTTTGCTGCTGCAAAGGTCTCATCATCATTTCCACCTCCTAATCTTCCAGAGATTGCATTTGCTGGTAAGGTTTCAAACCACCAGTCATTTCATCTTTATTTCTTTATTCCTTTGTTTTCTTGGTTTACTTAATGATATTATGGCATTGTTGCATTTATTAGGTTGGGGTAATAATAGTATATTTATAATTAATTCAATTATTATTGTTGAGCCTTAGTGTAGTGGTAAGGTTGCTGCTTGGTGGTCACAGGTTTTACCAAAACAGCATCTCCGTTCACGGGGCTTCATACATTTGATCCTCCCCAAACCCAAAATGGTTGGAGTCTCATGCTAGGCTGCCATTTTTATTGTTGTCTTTGTCGTAATAACTTATAAGAGACTTGTAGAACTGTAGTCAATTCATTGTGATGCAGTATATTTTGTATATCAGCACTTACATATGAGGGTGCCATTCTAGAGCTATGAACTGAACCTACACAGTAATTTTAGGGATTGATGGAAATTTAAGAAATGTCTTAGCAGAAGGCTTTAGGGTTGTTTTTGTCATTGTCTTACTCAAGGGGTCTGATCAAGTGAACAAATCTGGGTAGATAGTAGAATCAGGGATATATATTGATGTACTTGCTAAGAGAAACAAGTTAAAATATATTTTTCTGTTTGCGTTCTGGTTATCAGGAAGGTCAAATGTTGGGAAGTCATCTCTTCTTAATGCACTCACTCGACAATGGGGGGTTGTACGGACATCAGACAAGCCTGGCCTTACACAGGTAGGGTTCATAAAAGTTTGCACTTGTGGAAATTTGAAAGATAAAGTCTTGATAGATGAAATATCTATTGTATGTGACAAATTATGAATTCTCTGCAGACAATCAACTTCTTCAAGTTGGGAACAAAACTTAACTTAGTTGATTTGCCAGGATATGGGTTTGCATATGCAAAAGAAGAAGTAAAAGAAGCTTGGGAGGAGCTTGTAAGTATGGAAATTAAATTTAATCTCTCAGTGGTCAGGTTGTTTCTTAAAAAGTTTGGTTTAGCCTCTAAAGTATCATCATATACCATAGTAACGCATTATCACTTGTTTGTTGGATTAAAACATCCCTTGGTACTTGGCATTCTAAATTGGTTATTGGCCTGTGACCTACCTATTCATAACTGTTGATCTAGTGGGAGAAGAAAGAGGTCCTGTGGGGCTGGGGGACATTGATTCAGTTTTGGGACTGTTTATTAACATGTCAAGGCAAAATTACTTATGTTAACTGATTTTGTGTGTACTAAGCTAAATAAATTGTTTCCTGGAGCTCAATTTCTTGCGATGGTATGCTGCTTCCAATTTAAAACTTAAAGGTACCAAGCCATGAAGATGATTGAAATCATTTTAGGTACCTTGTGTTTTTATGATAAATAATGTATTTCATTAAGACAGAGAAGAAATTACAAAATGTTTGGAGGATAAGCCACCCTCTTTGACGTATGCGCAAAACATGATTATATAAACTTTGGCACCAGTCAAGTCCTTAAATGTTAAAACTTGGTGTGATGTTGATGTCAGATACTAAGCTAAGCCTAAGATTTCTTTCTTTCTTTCTTTCTGTCTAATTGACTATCCTAAGAGTGGGTAATGGAGTGGTCGTGGTCAATAATGATAATATTAAAATCGTAATTGTTGTTTCCTAGTACAAAAACTTTTTTATTATTGCCCACTATGACAATTGGTCCATGTAAAAGGACCCTAGATAAGGCTTGATTGTTAGTTGTTCTACAAAAATGTCATATTGTTTTGTTGCCACACATTCTTCATATGTTCAAGTTTGGTCTTAGCTTCATTTACTTTTCCCTTTACTCTTCACTCTGGGATAGTATATGGAGTCATATCATATGTATTGGCATTTTCCTCATATATTAAGCGCTAATCAATTATGTTTCTGGAAAACCTCTAATTGTAGGTGAAGGAGTATGTTTCCACAAGAGTTGGTCTCAAACGAGTATGCCTTCTGATTGATACAAAATGGGGTATGAAACCAAGAGATCATGAACTAATTGAATTAATGGAAAGGTACACCATTCATGGGCAATTGGTACCGTCCACATTTGTTCTTTCTTTCTTTTTTCCTTTGTCAAGTTACGGATATAAACGTAGCTTATATTGTGATCATATAAATTCAAAATGGGGTGTATCATATATCTAAATATATTTGATGGGTGATGTCAATTTGCAGATCAAAAACTAAATACCAAATAGTATTAACTAAGACAGATGTGGTTTTCCCAATTGATGTGGCACGACGTGCTATGCAAATTGAGGAGGTGAATACAGGCCATCCAAATTAACCTTTTATCTGAAAATTAATGTTTTTATTATGAGTCTAACAATTTTTTGCATGTTGGATCACAGAGTCTCCTACAGAACAAATCAGTAGTTCAGCCTCTGGTAAACTGATTCTTTTGGCAAATTTGTTCATATTTTTTTTCACCTTTTCTGACACGATTCTTGGGAGTAAGCATGTGTCTGTGCGTTGTGCCTATTGCAGATGATGGTAAGCTCAAAATCTGGAGCTGGCATCCGAAGCTTGAGAACGGTGCTTGCTAACATAGCTCGATTTGTCAAAATATAAAAGATATAGTAAGTTTTTTTTTTTTTTTCTTGGGTTTTGTTTCAAGTTTTTTTTTGCTCATAGTAACATTTATGTATAATGAATTATACATTTTTATTGGTAAAATCAAATATAGTGGGGCACTGTTTTTTCCACTGTGAAATCAGCTACTTTTACACCTGAGTAACACTTGAATTGGGAAGATCCCATTTGCTTTAAATGTGCTCATATTTTTGGGGTTGGGAGGTTAGGTTGTTTCTTTGGAAAGTAGTTACTACGTCAAGTTTGAAGACTTGAAGCTAACATCTTTATCCAATTCCTCACTTAACCATTTGAACTAAGCTGAGGTACATGCTCATTGGTTCTAAACATGATCTGTGTAAGATCTTATTACATAAGGCGAGTTGCTAAAGTTAATAAATGGATCCTAACAGGTTTATTGGGAGGTGCAAAAACACTTCTCCTTAGTATTCATGGCAGAATAAAAATTATGACCTCAATGGGGCGTTTGGTAGAGAAGAAATTTTTTTTTGTCCAGAAATCTCGATTTTCAAAAATAGGATTTTTACATTCAGTTTATGATAATATCCGAAAATTTAAAATTTAAAAAAAATCAGTTTCCCGAGAATCTGCCAAAAGCCACCTAAGTGATTAGGAACTCCATTTAGTGAGTACTTTGGTGCCACATTCATGCCTTCATCAATTTTATTTTATTTTTTGTTTTATTTTTTTCCCTGGTAAAACATTATAATCAAAAGTAATCATGTCTAATATCTTTCAGCAACATTCAATTTTGCTATTATTCTGGCTGTGCAGGCCATGCTCCTTTGATGATGCGGACATTTTACATTTGAGACGACACATATGCATAGTGAATTCATTTTTTTATGAGGTGCAGACTTCATTTGCTGCATGGCACGCCAATCCTAATTTTTGTTGTGTCCCATGATTTCCTGATTTTAAGTGGCCTTCTAAGAATTTATTGGTTCCCGTTTGCAAGAAGCACAGTTCTAATTTGTATAAACTGGTATTTTTAACACTTTTTGGGCATTACTTTTTGTTTATAACTAACATTTATTTTTTCTTGGTAAAAAAAATGGGCGCATGCGGATAAGGATGCTCACCACTCCTTTTTTAAATACATAACCTTAGTACATAGTTGTCACTTGTCAGCATAGACAATTAACCTAACACATGGTATGGGATAAATCTTAGGAAATTTTTAATATGCTCCTGTCCCTTCATGGTCCTTCCATTAAGAAAGTGACACATGGGTTTTTATTTTATTTTTCTTCTTTTTCTTTTCTCTCTCCTCAATTTTTCTTTCACTTTCTCTCCTTAACCCCACCCAATCACCCATGGGCCGGGAGCGCCAAATTTAAGCTCTAAATCTTGATAGCAACTGTTGCACTAAGTCACTGCAACTAGTAATTTATTTTGTGATACGTGAATAAAAATATCACATCGATCAAATGATGTGATATTTTTTATTCATGTGTCACAAAATAAATAGGCGGTTGCACTGAGACTTAAGATTTATGGAAAAAATATTTGTCTTTTTAAATGACATAATTTATATTCTTTCATTTTCACAAAGAGGTGGGATCTACATTTTTAGATTTTTTTATTTACTCTCTCCTCTTTTATCTATCTCTTTCTCTCACTTAAAATGACACAACTTTACATCTTTTAAAATGATACACATTTTTTCCAAGATTTTTTCCGATGCATCAGCCGCCCCTCCACTCAATTGAAAGGTTACTATTTATTTATGTTTTTCCTGAGAAGTGGGTTTGTTGGATAAGCAATGAATACCATATTATCTAGTGAAGCAGTTGAGTTATCTCATTGACATTTATATCTTATTGGAACTAAGTTAAAATGGCCATGTTCAAATATTGGGCCAGGACGAGAGGGTCTAGTTCTGTCGTTTTATTTTAGCATATTCTGTCACGTTTCTTTCTTTTTCTGTATTAAGTTCTTTTGTTATTTGGTTTATTCAATTTGCCTTGTATTGCCACCTCACTGTTAGTTACAACTCTCCACCACAATTTGGGGAAACAGAATGCTGATTCTGTTATAGGAGCCCTTATATATTTAGACACATACACTCTGTAAATTCATGAAGATTTTCCAGTAATACAAAATGTTTCCTTTTTCAATTCCTCTGGATTCTGTTATTCAATATTTTACAAACGGATTTAATTGGTTTAATAATCAATGCTTAATAATTTCGAGTATACTTTTTTTTTCAATATAAATGCATATTTAGGTTCTTGTATATGCAAAAGAATAATACTATAATACGATGTCTCCAAAATTTCCCTAACCAAATCTATCAAAAATGTTATTAAAGCAGAGTCAATTATGGCTAGAAGAACCCTTTTACTGGTCATGATAAATCAAATACTGTCAACTCAAATGCAAAATAAAATTTGTCACTGTTATCATCATTAAAAATAAAAATAAAACAAAAATTACTAACTTGCACCAAGCAAATACAAGGGGAGGGGACATAGTGATAATGACTACATGAGCTAAAATAATCACTTAAATTTTCAAAAATGTTTAGCAGTGCTCAAATTAAACTTCTGATAAGTATTATTATTATAAACATTTTCTGAAGGATTTGACTAAATCTGAGGCCACCAACCCCATGTGTGGCCTTTTCTATTGGGTATCAACTATGCAGCCCTTAAAAGACATAATTAGTATTAATCCCTTTTGTTTCAAGGGACACGCGTTTCTCATTCACATTCTTCGCAAAGAGGATTTGATTGATTGAGAAAAAAATGTGTCCTTTGAGGCTCATTCTCATTTTCTTGTCCGCAACCCTCGCCGGATTCTTTGTCCTCCGAAACCTCAGATCTCAACCTAAGGTCGACGATGATGACGCTGTTCCTAACCTTCCCAAGAACCCTGAAATCTCAGATTCTTCAAACCCTTCCTCTAATGGAACTTCCAAGGTTGACCCATTTCCCCCTTTTGCTTCAATTTTCATAAAAATGTTTTCTTTTTATTAACCCTAGATTGGTGGATTCAGGTTCGGGCTGCGTTAGAATCTGGGTTCTGGACATTCGTTGACATGGCTAGTGGGCGTTATCTTTGGAGGCATATGGTATCGTCCTCTTCAAAGCGCTCCAGCTGATGTGTTATCAGTGATTTATGTTAATCTTGTTCAGCTTCATGATCTTTGTAGGCCCAAGTGGGTGATTGAACATTGCCTCTTTTATTGTAATTTTAGGGTCAATTTGGATTCTCTGTGCCATAGCTGTTGTTCATAGTATTGTTGTTGTTTTTTGTTGTTGGTTTTGGATGGTGAAAGTCATAACTGCAACAATAATAATGATGATGATGATACCCATTTTCTTGAAATGTTATTATATAAAGTGTGAGCTTTTATTTATTCTGTTCTGGATTGCTGAGTTGCTTCGTGTTTTTCATGTAAAATTGTAAATTTTAATATGGGTTTTACATGGTATACTTGTTTCTTCTCAGATCCATATTCTGTTCGCTTGAGTGTCCATTAGGGGGAGAATTTTTTGAAATTGTGTTAGCTTCTTAGCATGCTGTCAACAGAGGTTTGATACTCTTTTCTTTTTGGATTTGTTCTAAAAAGATTAACTTGTAGGCATTATTGTTGTTTAGCATCACAAGGTATCTAATATTGATGTAGGAATAGGATAGGTGAGTTGTTGCCTATTTTTGTAAGTAAAAAATCATATGGGACAGGCATGGCAGACAGAATAAAAATTTGACCGGATAAGATTGGGATTTAAGGATAGAATAACGATGGAAAATTGGATGGATTAAAGTGTTACTGATTGTATTGATGTAAATTTTTGCCTTATATGTATCTGTTTCATTAGTAATGATAGGATAACGATAGGTAACCAAGTTGGTGGCTGTTGAGTGATCTAAAAGCACGTTTTAACTTTGAAAAAAGTATTTGTGGGATGCCAAGGTATTCTGAAAAAGGAATTTCTGATGATATATGGAGAAGGAAACTGCCCTGGCCCCAGATGCAAACTGAAGATGCCTAAATAGAAGAGAAGAGAACCAAAAGAGATAAGCTTAGAGTTGTAGCTTCTTAGATTCTTCATGAAACCGACAGCTGTTTGAAAAATTGCCATTTTATTTGTAAAAGTTAACTTCCAGAACTTATTCTACAAGAATTTGGAGTAGCTTCTCAGTCCTATGAGAATCTAAACCTTCTGCAAATACTAGACTAAAGTATGTGCTTGAAATTTCTAGGAAATTATTTCTATGGAGAGAATTAGCTTTAGCTTTGATTTGGAAGAATTCATGTCGTTAATATTAGCTTCATTTTTAATAAAATTTCTGAAAAGAGCATTGAGTTGTTTGTTTGTGTATTATTAGTAAAAATGACTTTCTAGAAAGGAAATAGTAGTGTTTAGTTATGTCTCAACTCCGCAATATCAGTGGCATTTTAGTCAAATAATGTTTGATAAATGACAGAATACTTTTGACGAGTGTCATATTTGATACAATATGGTAAATTGATAACGACAGCTAATATATATATATATATATATATCTTTCAAAGTGGAAAAATTTCTATCCTGGTGGTTTACCTAGTTTATGTATCTCTAGCGAATAGTGGCATGTGAATGTTATATCATCTTGCATGGAAAAAGTATGGGAATTTGTCTTCATTATGACAGGGTGCAGAAGTTACGAAGTTGTATAACATTTGGAATGAGATGTGCTCCCCCTTTATTAGTGTCACTGCTAATTCCTAATTCGACTTGTATCGTAATACCTTTTGTTATGCCAGATTGTTATTGGAATATTGGTTCTTTGTGTGAGATATACTATTTATTGCAATTTGGTTTAATTTTTTTTTTTTTTAAATGATTATGTCCCCTTAATTTTAGTTTTTCCCCCGAGGCTACGCTAGGTATTGCTAAAGTTAGAAAGAGGTATTCGATGATCAAGACAAGAAAAAAATTGAAAAAATGAAAGGTAGAAAGCAGAGATTACCTTGCCTATTACTAAACAAACAGGGAAGGAAATATTGTTGATTCTTAATTCACTTTTACCCTTATATAGCTACTATATTGTTTTTAACTGAAAATTGTGCAAGAATGGAGTAAAATGATACCCATTTTCATTCTCTATTCATAAATCTTGTAACAAAGAGTGTGGTTTGAGGAAAGTGGGCCCGTCTTAGATTCAAACTCTCTGACTTCATCCATTGCAAGTAGGCCCTTAATGTTGCAACGATGATTTTCCATTAAATTTTTTTATCCCTGCTGAATGTTCTTAAAGTGGATTTCAATATCATCGTCCCAGTTATTAAACAAGTTCAATTCTCTCCTTATTATTAGGGGTGGTAATTTGGGTTGACCCGCCCCGCTACCAACCCGCCAAAAATGGGGCGGGGTGAGTTGACTCGCCAAAAAATATGGGTTGTAAAAATAAACTCACCCCGTTTTATGGTGGGTTGGCAGGTCAACCCACCAACCCGCCAATTAAAAAAAAATTAATTAAAATTCAAAAATAAATTATATTTTATGAATTTTTTTAATATTATTTTATTTTATTTTACACTTCTCTATATTTTTTTTAGTCTCAATCTTAAATGTATACTAATATTTGTCAAACATTCTTTAGCAATTTATAAATAGATAACATTTGTCATAAATAAAATTTTTATTCTTTATTTTTTCTAGAAAGTACTAAGATAAAAAAAAATTGAATATCACAAAAAATTTAAGTACTAATGAAATACTACCTAATTGTAAAAAAATAAAAAAAATAATAAAAAAATTTAAAACTCGGTGGGTCAACCCGCCCCGCGACGGGTTGAACCCGTTTTGACCCACTTCTAGGTGGGGCGGGTTGAAGTGAGTTGAAAATCTCAACCCAACTTGCCTCGTTTTGACGGGTTGGCGGGTTGACCCGTCGGGCTGAACCCATATTGCCACCGATAATTACAATCATTTTAGAGATCTTCTTGGAGGTATTGGTGTTTTAAATCAATCTCAAACGGGTCATTGAATGCAAGTTGAATGAAACATTCAAGGCAGGTGTGGTATGTATTGGTCTCTAGAGCACATGCCCCATGCTAGACTAGATGAACTTTGATGTAGTTATCAAACAATTGTAACCAGCACGTGTCTTTTTTTTTTTTGGATTACGTAACCAGCACGTGTCTGATTTTTACTATCTATATCATAAATAAAGTACGAGCTTGAGCAAAATTAAAGCGAAAAAATGAGAATAAATATCGTCAATAGTTCAAGTGGTTACATCATCTGAACTATTCTCTAGCTCATCTGTTTAGTTGGATGGAAGAGACATGTAACGTCTGGCCGCTTCAAGAACTAATGATTATTTTCACATATTAACATGAGACTTTTCAGTATGTTTTTTTCTCACTCGTACACTTCTCGGGAAAACTTCTTATGAGGTCACCTATTCCAGAATTGCTCCAAGTCAAGCACGCTTAGAGTTCTTCCATTCCGGACTACCGAAAAGTAAATGCATCTTGTTAGCTTAACTGTGGAGTTCTTCCGTTCTGGGCTACCGAAAAGTAGATGCATCTTGTTAGTATAGGTAGTATCAATTAATTCTTATAAGCTATCCCAAACTCTATCAGGAACCGTTCATTGTCCATACCACACCGTACTAGAAGAGAGACCTTGCTCTGATACCACTTGTAACGTTTGGCCGCTTTAAGACTTCAAGAATCAATGACTATCCCCACATACTAACACGAGACTTTTCAGTGTGCTTTTTCCTTACTCGTACACTTCGAGGGAAAATTTTCCAAGAGATCACTCGTCCCAGAATTGCTCCAATTCAAGCACGCTTAACTGTGGAGTTCTTCCGTTCCGGGCTACCGAAAAGTAGATGCATCTTGTTAATATAGGTAATACCAATTAATTCTTAGAAGTTTTCCCAAACTGTGCAGTCTTCATACCTGCACAGTCTTTGGAATCCCTCTCTTTCGGGTGTCGATTCGATTCATTCGTTCATGTAACCCTCCGCTGGAAGCCTGTCAGGAGCCGCTCCTTGTCCATGCCTTTTCACATCGGTGATCACTCCCCACCCTCGTCAGCGTTCAGGATGTTACAAGACACATTATGAGATAGCCTTTTATTTTCTCCTTTTCTTCTTCTCTTCTTTGGGATGTAAATCCATGAACTTCTTACCGTGTCTTGAACCGGTAAGCTTTACAACTTAAATTTGCACTTATCGTAATCGCTTGAAAAGGTGAATGTGTGAATGTACACTTAAGCATAACTCGAGTATTACCTCATCTTTAAGCCAGTGGCGGATCCAGAAAATTTTCTTTATGTCTGCACATTTATAGCGGGGGTTTGGGGACGCTGCCCCCGATTTCTTTTTTTTAAAAATCATGATCATGGTCCAATTTTTTCTTCCACTTTTAAAAGTAAAGCTTTGGTGAATCAACCAAAGTTTTAAGGAAATAATCGATAATGATAATTAAAAAAAATAAACACCACAAAAAGACATTGGTAAAATATAGTATAATTGTAGGGGTTAATCGATCAAAAACTCACATTTGTCAATGTCTATTTGATCCAAAGTTGGCCACCTTTGTTTTCACAAAAAAGATGAAAAATTCCGTACGATTCTCATCTACTTGATAAAAATTAAATTTCAAGAATCGTTGATGTCTATTAAGATTTTGAGCTAATAAAATTTATGTAAAAAAAAACAAAAAGAAAGAGACAAAGCAATAGGCTAGAATTTAAACTTTAAGCTTTTAATGTAGGGGTTGAGCCTATCTTTACCTTTTTTCTTTCAATCTTCTTATTTCTTTTCTTTTTTCCTTTTTTTTTTTACACTTGACTTGAATCACACATCTCATGTAATTTTTTTTTTCCACCCATCTTTGTGTTTGCACGTGGAGACAACTGCAACAACTTCGGTCCGCCATTGGTTTAAGCCAATGTATTGCTCTCGCTTATGGGGCAGTGATATTTTCATATATATTTTTGTAGTAATATTAACATAATCTATCACGTACATACGATTTTAATTGATTTTGTGCGTTATCATTATTATTTAATTAAACTTTAAATATAAAAAAGGATAAAAATATAGTATCATTATTTTCCAGTTACACTTCTGAGCAAATATTTCTCAACTTCTCATTTTGTAGCTACAAATTTTTTAATAAAACTCTTGAGGTACTATTCTTCATTTTTGTAAACATCATTTTATTATTATGAAGTTGTAATTTTATTTTATTTTTTTGGTGAAAAAATGAAGTTGTAATTAATTCATTTCAAAAACTCCATTATTATTCTTCCTTATTAGTATAACGTCTTCCAACCTTTTTTGTTTTCATGTTTTTAGTTTTCGCATCAAGCACATGTTACCCGACGTGTATTTACAACCTTCAAGTTAAGATCTGACCTCTATGAATAGCTTGAATGAGCGTTTCAATTTGAACATAGCTGAAGTGACGCCTATTGAACTCTTTTTTTTTTTTGGTGGTTTATTGAACTTGGTTTTGTCAAGGCTAGCATCTTCACAACACTTAAACTTCCACTTCATTAAACAATATAAATATTATCTGACTAAGTAATTCTTATTATAGTTAAATCATTTCAATAATTTATCAAAAAAAAAAAAATCATTTCAATAATGAAGAGTAACAATAGGGTTGGCAAAACGGACCAACCCGGCCCGACCCTGACCCGACCCAACCTGCATTCAACCCGAGTCGGGTTAGGGTTGGCTCGAAAAAGAAAAAACGAGCAAGAAAATCCAACTCAACCCGAGTCGGGTTAGGGTTGGCTAAAAAATATGACTCGTGGGTTGGTTTGAAAAAATAGCTCGCGAGTTGGCTCGAAAATTGGCTCGCGGGTTGGCTCAAAAATTGCTCGCGGGTTGGCTCGTTTTCAGCCTATTTAAATGACCATGTAATATTAATGCACCAGCTATGTGGCTTCCATTAGCTTAAACAAAAGGTTACAAAATGAGAAATAAAAGCAAAATATTTTAGTTTTGAATTTTCTTCACAACAAATTTGCATCAATATCAAGAAACAATCAAAACCACTTGCTACCAAGTGAGTAAAATATTTGAACCAAACAGAGTCAACCACCTAACAATATAGAAATGGCAAGGATGTGAGAAGATTAGGGATTTAGGTTTAGAGAAGGAAGAAAAATGATGACGACATGTGTGAATTTTGTCCATTTTTGTATATTAATTTTGTATTTTTTATTAAAAAAAAAAACTCAACCCGCGAGCTGGCTCGTTTGACTCGCGAGTTGGCTCATTTTTTCACGGGTTGAAATGAGCCGGGTTGACAGCTCGTTTTGGCCAACCCAACCCGGCTCATTTTTGGCGGGTTACGAGCCGAGTTGGCTCGTTTTTGCCAACTCTAATAACACGAACTCGATAACAGTGAAAAAAAATTAATAATTCCACAAGTATAACATACTTAAATTAAATAAAAATTTCTAGGATTACATATTTGAAGTCGTCAATTACGTCAAGTATAACAAAGCAATTTTTAAAATCAAAATTGCAAAATGCAGAAAATATTTTTCAAAATGCTATTTTGTATGGGAAACATATTTGCTTTTTTAAATAATATAACTTTGTGTCATTTTAGATCCTTAATTTTCATCAATAAATAGTGGGAGGAGTTATAGTTACTACCTCTTTTTCTTACGATCTATTACTATCAAATCTTAATCATTGATTTTCGTCAATCTAACCATTGTAATTTATGAGGTCATACTTATTAATTAATTATAATTTACCATAAATTATAACCGTTAGATTGACGGAAATCAACAATTAAGATTTGGTATTAAGAGGTAGTAAGAAAAATAGGTAGTAAATATAACATTTTTCATAAATAGTTTGGATTTATTAAATTTTATTATGAATTATTAATTAATTAATAAATTTGACCCAATAAACCTTAATCGTTGATTGACGAAAATTAATTGTTAGAATTTATATTAAATTTTTTTCCATTTTATATTCGTTTAAACCAACGGAACTTTCTTTGGGGGACTCAACTATAGCGTTAGTCTTAATATAATATATATCACAAGGGTCCTTTATACATACAGGATACAGCTATCCAAGAATCAAAGTGTCAACGGTCGAATTTCATTGTGGAAAGAGAGAGAGATGAGGAAGAGAAAGGGTGCAAGATCTGAAGCCTCAAAAACCCTCATCAATTCTGCATCTGGGGTAGAAGAAGTGCAACTACAACACAATAACGAAAACGAAGGTTCTGAAGGAGATGGGTTCTTCGCTTGCTACCTCTTAGCCTCTGTCAATCCCCGTTACAAAGGCCACACTTACATCGGGTTCTTATCTTAATCTTTTCTATACTCGCTTCTCAAGATCAAATTTTGATGATCCCTTTTGATTCAATCCGAAAATCACAAACACCCCTTTTGTTTTTTTTCTTCATATAAATTCTGGGTTTGTTCGATTTTCTTTGGTTTCTGTATCGTTTCAAGTTGGTGCCTTTTCGAAATTATGCTGTGATGATCCTCTTTTGCTGCCCGTTTGTTGTAAAGTTGCCAATTTTTCTTTGTTAGAATTGTTTGGTATTTTGCTTCAACTTTGTGCTTGTGTTTATTTTTCCATGTATGCAATTGCAGATTTACAGTGAATCCGCGGCGCCGGATAAGGCAACACAATGGAGAAATTGGGTGTGGAGCTTGGAGAACGAAGAAGAGGAGACCTTGGGAGATGGTTTTGTGTATCTATGGCTTCCCAACAAACGTATCTGCACTTCAGGTTTGAATCTGATACTGTTTATATATATATATATATATATATATATCAACCATCAAGATTTGGTGTAAGACTTGTTATTTATTCTTGTATCGCTGTAAGTTGATCCTACCCCTATATATTGGGAAATATATTTCTCATGTTGCATGTTGTAGGTATTTGGTTGCTTGAGCAAGTTAAATTCATTATAGTGTGAGTGTGGTCATCCATTTTGTGTTTTGGTGTTGCTGGGGGAGAGTGGCCTGAGATCTCAGGGGGAGAGAACTGCAGTTTGCTTCCATTTCTCCCTTTATATCAAGTGTTAAGCATGAGGACATATGTATGCTGAAAGTTTGCGAGTTTATTGACTTATTCAGTAATAGGCTTGATTATAAATCTATTACAATGCTTTCCATTTACCAATGGTGCAAATCCCTTCTATTTAATTGCATGCTAGGATCAACTCTATTTTTGGTGCATTACCAATTGCAAACAGGACTAATTTGCCAACTTACATGCTTTCTTAAAGGAAGTATTCTTACTAAAAAATACACTTGTTAAATTCTCGCAGTTTGTGATTGACGTTTGCAATTACTTGTCTGATTATGTGCTTCTTTGGAAAGATCATATGTGGAAAATTTGATATTGGGCTCAGATTCTAAAACTAGTGATTTTTTGTTTAAGCAATTTCCCCTTTTATTCTTTGTAAACTTAATTTGTTGGGCTTGGATGGTTTATATCTGCATCGGATAGAATGAGTCTGGTTCTTACTTGCCTCGGAGGCTTAATATTGTTGAATGGATTAAATGCAGAGCAAGCATATTATGCTATTTAAAATGCCAAATTTTAAGATAATGTATTTATGAGGTTAATATGATTGGGGCATGCAGTTTGAATGGGCTTGGCAGCACCCTGTTGAATCATTGGCTGTAAGGAAGGCAGCTGTTGGTTTTAAATCCCTCTCAGGAATTGCCAATAAGATTAAACTTGCATACACAATGCTCACCCTTCCATCCTGGCAGAGGTATGGTCTCTATCTCTATTGACTTAGGAATGTAAATTCTTTTTGCTGGAATGATATGATTTAGTTTTTGATACTGACATGGGATGAATGGTCACAGCATGAATATCACAGTGAACTTCTTCTCCACCAAGTACATGAAACATTGTGCTGGTTGCCCAAGCTTGCCAGAGCACATGAAGATCGAGATTGGCTCAATGGATGAACTTCCATGTTACACCGAAAGAGTCGATGGTTTATCAGAGAATGACGATGATAATATTGATGAAGTGGAATTTGATAACAATGCTAGTACTAGTGGTTCTGTTCCAGATGCAAGTGATGATTCTATCCCTCCTGATTCCCCAAAAAATCCAAATCATGGGGACAAAATTAGTGAATCATTTGGGTGGAACAAAGAATCTGAAGCAAGAGAACCACCCGATCATTCATTTGCTTCACAAGAGCAGAGCCAAACATTTGGTTCTATCACATCGCCAATGGTGAAATCATCATCAGCAAGTTCATTAAAAAGAGTAGAGATTATTGAAGACACATGCTTTATGAGTGTGATGAATAAGAGTAGTGCTGAATTGAGTCGACCTGAATCTGAAAAATCAGGTGCTGTATCAGCCGCCAACAAAAATGGAAATGTCAGTAGCACATTTGTTGTGCCCCATGAAGCTGAGATAATTGATTTGTCTACCCCTTCTCCTAGCTGCAGAAGTGTTTTAGATAGGAAGAAGAGAAGAGTCTCCTCCTCTGTTGTTGCTGATTTAATTGACCTAACAAAGTCCCCAAACTTTGTCCAATTGTAACACACTAATGTGGTCAGAAAACATTATTAGTTGTTAAATAATCTGGCCTGTCACACCCCGTTGTCATTCTCTGATGGCATATAGATAACACAGTGCAGCTATTTACAGGTCACCAATGAATGTAATAAGAATAGAGAAATCTGAACAAATATAAGTTTAGTTTTGTTTCTTTCCACAAGGTTTGATTTTGCTGTCTTAAACTTATATTTGCAATCTAATTAAACAGTTCCATGAGTTTTGTCTACAATATATTTAGTCTTTTTGGGAGGGGTTCAGGACTACTGCCGATTTTCTTTTCTATAATATATTTATTTTCTTGTGAAATGAGTTTGTATTAGGGAGATAAGTTTAGCTTCCATCGATTGGACAAAATTGAGAAAGAGTAAATAAACATTTACATGAATATGTTATGAAACTTTTAATGTGTTACAACCATAAATCTTACAATATTTTGGCTTTATTTATTTTTGTTGTTGGAAAAAAACAGATGAGAACATTAAACCTACATCTTTAAAAATTAATTAATCACAATGTTTAATTCATATTCGGTATAGCATGTTACTATGAGTTTCATTGAGATGTATACAATAATAGTCAATAACTCTTCTAATCCGGAATAAATATAAGGCCCACTTGAGAAGCTTTTACCATAAAAAAACCCATACGAGTTTGGGGCTTCGCCCCTTAATGTTATAAAAAAAAAAAAAAAAAAAACAAAACCCATACGAGAAGTTTTTACTATAAGAAAAGATATCTTAGGCATTACCCTCAAAGTCAATAAAGGTTGTATCTTGGCAATATTAAATGTTACATATCTCAGCAATCAAATTTCTATGCAAATCCTACTTCAGGCCACCCACTCAAGAACCAATGTAAAAGCTTTATGGCCTCACCACTTGTATCAACTTGCAGGAACATCTCCCAAAGTTGAACACCCCCTCATTATAAATACAAGTGGGTTAAACACAAAGATAATCATCTTCTTTTACATGAAATATCTGCTAGGGAAGGATCACATGATCAGCCCAAATAAAACTGGTTCTGATTATGTTCAATCTGCATTTTTGAACTCCTGATATCTGATGACCCTTATTAATGACTTGCACTTAGTAGCAAAAACAAAAGCTAGACTGTGATGACCATTCTGCATCCTATAACGTTCAGGTACAAATAAAACGTCGAGATTGTGATCTCAAGCTTTGCCTCTCATTTATATGTTTTTTTCTTCTTTACTTTGCTGTGCTTTTTTTAAACTTTTTGGCAGAGTGCTTTTGATAAGGAAAATATGAGATACCCGGTGCCTCAAAACTTGGTCAGATAGCATGCATCATATGATGTTCTGTCTTGATTCTCGAAACTAAAAATAAGAGTGCCCCCATCTGGCGATTAGATGTTAGATGATGTGCAAACAAACCCTTAGTTTTATCATTCGGAGATTAGTGTATTGCTACATTAGTCTTCTAAATATTCGTATCATTAAATTAGTCCCTTCAAAATCCAAAAGTTATCAAATTTGTTCCCTCCCCCAACTATTTTGGTTCTTCATGAGAATGATGATAAAGTTTTAGATATTTCAGGGGCTAATTTAGTGACTTAAATCTTTAGAGGACAAATGTAATGGCAAGTCAATAATTAAGAAACTAATTTAATGGCAAAAATCTTTAGGGTCCTAAAATTTGGAGTTTACTCATGATGTGCTAACAATAATAAAGGGAACACAGGTCTTTCAAAGCAGCATGAAATGAGGAAGTGTCCACTGCGCATGACCCCTCACTATGCAGTTTTCATTTTTTTGAAACACAAGGAGCCAATAGAAACTATTTTTGTCTATCACAACGTAACATATATCGTCTGACACAGGTGTTTCTGTTCCTCGGGCAACCCTTCTACTCTACCCATTTGAGCATTCATCTTTCGTTTGGCTTGAGTGGATTGGCTGAATAGAAAGTTGGAATGTACATTTAGATTCTATTACCATGAAATCAAAACAGCAAAATTGAGAAATGCACTTTAATTTGTAAACAGAATTTGAGATACAAGATATGTTACGATATGGTCATACCATTATGAAAATATGAAACAGCTAAGGTGAGAGAAAAAGAAAAATGTTACAATGAGGTCATGGCATCATGAAACGCAAGATGGGAAAAAACTGGGCATTGCTATTAAATGGAATAAGTATGACGTCTCAAAATAGAGAATGGATTATGACTGTGGATGTTCTTGGTCATGTATCTGTGGCTGTTGCTCTGACTGTAGTGATTGCAGTTGTTGGTCACTTTGCCAGACCCAAACAATATCCTGAAGAGCAGGCCTTATATCCTCTTTCAATATTTTCTGATATTCCAGTGTATCACCATTTGATTTCTTCACCTCCACCAAATGTAAAGAAGGAGTAACCTCAAATATCTCTGCATCAATGGATAAAATCCCTTTCCTGCCTTCATCGATTCCCTCTAGTTTTAACAAACCAGCAGCTTTTTTCTTTATTTTCAGCTTCAGTTGCTTAGCAATGTCTTCCAGCTTTGAGATGATGACTGAAGCAGGTAGTCTTGAACTAAATCTTGCTTCTCTTTTGTAAAAACTATCTTCAAAGAATCTAGAAAGATTAAAACCAGCAGAACGGGAGATGATATCAAATGCATTTATACTTACGGGCACAACTGAATCTTCCTTGGCTTCTGCTGCTAGACCATCACTTTCTTCATTTTGACCAGAGAGACTTGTACCTGAAGAAGAGACACTGTTGTTTTCCACTACAGGTTTTTTATTTCTAGCAGTTGGCCCTTTCTTAAACCAACCGTATTCCTTAATCTCAACTATGGAAATCCTAGTGTCAGGATTTGGATCCAATATCTTGCCCAATAGACTGCATACTTCTGGTGGGAACCAATTAGGGCATTTTAATTCTGCCTTGCTTATCTTCCTATACATCTCTATCAAATTTGGGTCATGAAAAGGGAGATAACCTGCCAACAAGACAAATAGAACTATTCCACAAGACCAAATATCAGCTTTGGCACCATCATATCCCTTCCTTTGGATGACTTCAGGAGCAACATAGGCAGGGGTGCCACAAGCTGTATGGAGTAAGCCATCCTGCCTCTTGGATTCAGCAAGTGCACTTAACCCAAAATCAGAGACCTTTAGATTCCCATTTTCATCCAATAGAATGTTCTCGGGCTTTATGTCTCTGTGGTACACGCCTCTACTGTGACAAAAATCCACTGCATTGATTAGCTGCTTAAAATATTTGTGTGCAACATCTTGTTTGAGTTTTCCTTTGGCCACCTTGTTGAAGAGCTCACCACCTTTAGCATATTCCATAACAAAGTAAATCTTACTCTTGGTGGCCATAACCTCAAAAAGCTGTATAATATTGGGATGTCTAGCCAGTCTCATTACAGATATTTCGCGCTTGACTAGATCAACTTGCCCAGTTCTCATAACCTTTTCTTTGTCAATCCCTTTAATAGCTACACTCTGGTTAGTTATTTTACTACGAGCATAGTAAACCCTTCCAAAGGTTCCCTGGCCTAGTAATCTTCCTAACTCATATCTTTGCATTAAGACATTTGATTTACTCTCCATAAGAGACCTTAAAGTAGAATGAAATTTTACACAACTTCCTCAGCCCACTTAAATTCTATATCATTTACTATTGTAACGTGTATACAACTATATACATATAGCAGAAACGTGTTTCAACCGTCTTCACACACATCATGTATTAGCAGAAGAGGCACTCCGAAAAAACTTGTGTGCCAATTGTGCATCAAGGAATAGCTAATAAATGAGCCAAAAATTTGTGGTCCACTCTTGTCAAGCATTAAGTGGGGAAGTAATAGCAAGGATATCACCTTATGGATCTTAGAGGCAAAACTGCAGTGAAGAAGGAACATCTTTTTGGCATTCCCAGTTGTGTCTCCGTCAAACACAACTCAGAGTATGTGCTGGCAAGTGGAAGTTGATGAGCTTTAGCAGCATACTTGAATTTTAGTAGATGATTAATGATACAACGAATCTGAAAAACGAAGAAGAAAGAACAATACCCAGTTCAATAATTGTTGAGAAAATATATTAAACTGATCAACAACACAAATCAGCTTCTGATTTCAAAACACAGAAGGGAACAAATAAGATTGACCATCACATGCTTATCAATAAGGGATGCCAAGTAATAATAATAATAAAAAAAAACTCTGTTTAGAAGGAAAATAACAAAGTAAATTGAAAATTTCAGAATACTAACCTAGCTGATCTACTAAAACTATGATCTTTATAAGAATATGTATAAGAGAATTGAATTAAAACAACAATAATACTCTACCAATTAAATTTCGAAAAATTTATTACTAATTCAACAAGATTCCCTCGAAAATATAAAAGATTAACAATGGTAGAGTAATGAAAAATCTCAGAATCTCAACAACACTTTGAGTCCATGATTGTTTGCAGGAAAAAAGCATCACTAAATTTTCACTAGTACGCTATAGCTTCAAATCAGTTTCAAAGTGACTAGAACCCAAGTTTACTGTACACCAGCTAGAGAGATAGTCATAGGTGACATCGTTCATCAGGAAGAATCAGGAACATGTTCAAGCTTGACCCATAAATTGAACGGGAAAATTTAACAGAATTACAAAAAAAAATAATAATAATAAAAAAAAAGAGAACAATTAAATGAGCTAACCTTGAGGATCTGGTAGAGCGCAGGTAGGTACACGTTGAAGAAGCAGCACAAACCCAGAGAGAGATTCATATAAGTATATATTTTGATCCATGATTAAGAAACCAAAGTGTATTCATTAATAAATTATAATTAATAATAAAGTTTAGAACTTACTCTTATTAATGTTTATTTGATGGTGGCATCACGCATGTAGTGCATGTGGGGCCGGCCTATGACGTGGAACCCAATGCATGCTTGACATCAATACTCTTTCTTTATCAACACGTTTTGTCAATAGGACTGGAGGTAAAGTATGCAATTTTTATGGGAAAAAGAAAAAAAAAATTGCTTATAGGGAAAATTATGATTAAATTTCTGGCGAAAAAACAGAAATGTTAATTTTTTTTTTTTTGGAAAAACATCTATCATTTTAAAGGATGAAAACCTTATATCACTTTTTATCATAACCGTTGATTTCCGTCCATCAACGGTTATAAATTATTAGGTCAAAATTAATGGGTCAAATTTATTATTAATTAATTAATAATTTTGATCCAATATATTATAGCTGTTGATGGACAGAAATTAACGGTTAAAATCTAAAAGGATATAAGTTTATATCCTTTAAAATGACAGATTTTTTTTTTTATATAGATTCTAATTTTTTATTTTTTTGGTAACAAGATTCTAATTACCATTGTAAGAGGAGGCGAGTTCATTATAAAATTAATTCTGAATTTAGTCATAGTTAAAAATCTTTGTTTATCTCTAAAGATATATATGTGATTAGAATCCAACCTAGATTATTTCTATACGTACTCAGTTTATGTTGCAAGTGAGTTATACCTATTAAATAAAAGCTTTAACGTTTCTAAAGTGAATGTAGATAAGTTATCTATATTCGCTCCCAAAATGACATCATTTTGAGTTGAAAGATTAAAAAACTATAATAAATTATATTATTATAACCCTGAAATAAATTATAACTACAAAAATACCTTGATTTCCGCCTCAAAATAACGTCATTTTGGGATCACTGTAGATAAGTTATCTACATTGACGGTAAAAAAAACGAACCCTTAAATAAATTACACTCTTCCTTTTGGTTTGATTTAAAATTAATATCGTCATCGTTTTTTTTATTATCTAGGGATTAAATTTTACAGAGATCAAATTGATGTTGCTCTCAATTTTTCAATGACTGAATTGATATTGTTTATCTTACATTGACTGCATTAATGTCAACCATAATTTACATAACGAGAGAAAAAAAAAAAAGAGTTACGAGATTCAAAAAAATTCGTTTATTTTCCTTTTCTTTGCAGACCAAGTTCTCAATTAACTAATTATATAGTGAGTCAATTTAACTTAATTATTATATTTTCCTGAAATTCAATTCTATAACTAAATATAAAATGATATATTTATTTAGACGTGGTTTGCAATTGAATGGACTCCATTTCCACCGATATGTTTTCATTGGATACAATAAAAAGATATTGAAATTATAAACAATATACTGTATTTAATAAATTAAGACAATTATTATGTGAATGGTAGTTTTAACACTAAAATACAATGAGGCTAGTATAAATGACAAAATAACAAAAAATTACCAGCATCAAAAGATTTTTGACGATTGCTCTACACTCTACAGTGCCATTATGACATTGGTTAGTGAGACATCAAAAAAGTTAAGAGCAAGTGCAGCAGTCCCTTCTCTTTCAAAGCCAATTGTGGCTATTTACAGTTCACAGCACAACCTGCGGTACCCTGCTTAGTCCTGATATCTGAGACCTGATGTAAATTCGAATAAGCAGCAGCCATAAACTGTGGTCAACTTGGCTTGGGATGATAAGAAAATTCCTGCTTCTTCTCTTTCTGATGATCATCAGATAAATCTATCTTTTCCATTCTACATGCTTATCCAAATTTATGAAACCATCATCTTGTCGTTTGATCCCATGAAAAATATCCAGGGGTTTCCACAAATATTTAATTTCAATTCACTGCCAATGACAACATGTCAACATTCTCAGTGAACATGCCATGCAGATACCACCTAACTGTTAAAATTTTACTGTTAATAACATACCATAATTACTCTAATGAAGGTTGTGATACTTTTTTTTTTATTTTTTGGTAAGATGTGATACTTTTAATTTACTGATAATATGTAGTTTTAAAGTTTAAACAATAAATGGATGAAATTTAAACCCTAAATTGAATAAAATACTGACCACTTTTTCAGTCATACTCCATAAAGCGGTAGAAAGGTTTTGATGAAAGAGTATGCCAGTGCACCCGTGAACACATAACTGTCCACTCTGTCTAGTACCCCACCTGCGTCAAATGGAGTTAGTAAAATGTGTTAAGCCTCCAACTACTTGTTGATAGAGAAGAAAATGAGTCCGATTTGAATATGAGCTGGATCATCTTTAGCGGCAAGATGACATTCTTAAACAAATTTTTTAACCATATATGTTCAGTAATTATTTATTAATAAATCAGAGACCAAAATAGCAGGATTATTTATATATTGCTACAATATGAGGGCTAAATTTGGATTTACTCATATTTTTTCTTCAATTTCTAGTAAAATTTCTTCTTATATCTAAATATAAATAAAAACCACTCACCATTAAATCCCGACTAGCGAGGGACGAGGGTAAAGGTGAAGACAATCCTTGTGTGCAAAGATAAATAAATAAAGCTTCTCTTACAGAAATATTAGTAAGTAAAGAGTAATTACCATGACCAGGTATTAGGGAGCCAGAGTCTTTCACACCCGCATCACGTTTGATCATTGATTCAGTGAGATCACCAAAAACAGACCCAAAGAAATTCAGAACACCAAGAGCTATTGCGCTGATAAAACCCATGTAAAGACCACAAATTACCAAAGTGTAAATATAACTGTGCACAAGATATAAAAAGTTGCATGGCAAATGAATGAATGTTCATCCTAAACTAGAATGAAGTCTATTCACTGATTGACAAAAGACAAGTAACATGGTAATGAGCAAAAATGACATGGTACTCAAACATCTTAATTCTTAAACAATTGAGGCCAACGGAATTATACATGAGGAAACCTCTACGCTGTATACACACTATATAACAGATTAAGATCAAGAAGACAAGAACCAGTCCACCAGAGGAAAATACGTAATTCTTGAGAAAGATGGGTGATTAATAATAACAATATGATTGACAATATGCTAAAGCCGTGAATGTCCATCATGGTACTACTACTGTAATGACTGCCAGCATGTCTAGAAGTAGAAACCTTACTAATCATCTAATCTCACCAAAATAATGAACTACGAAAAGTTCTACCTACAAATTTTATCCAGCAAACAATTACTACAGGCAAACATCATAACTGAAATTAGCAACACATAACTTATGAGGACAGGTAGTGTACCTTGATATTGATATTGGCCAGCTGAAAATTTTTGATAGTACAACAGAAGTAACTATACACCCACAGAAGCCTATAATAGTACCCTCCCATGTCTTCTTTGGACTTATACTAGTAAGTGGTGTTCTACCAAATGCCTGCATGAAGGTGCAAAAAGAAATTTCATGCTTGAAGGCCAGATTAAGGGTGTATTTTTTGGAAGAGATAAAAAATGAATAGTCTAGATGTGAAATCAAGGAAAACTAAACACTTTATATCATGACAAGTTCAAAATAAGCAGTTAGACACCGACTTTTGACTAAAAATACAACAGCCACAACAGAATACTTTTGTGAAGGAAAAATATAAATAGTCCTTTTTCCTCTCATTCTAGTTTCTTTTAAAAGTATTCCTTATCCTCTGACTACGCACTTCTCAACTTCGCCCTTGTAAAAACAAATATTTTTTCACTCAAAATTCAGGATTTTGCCTAAAATCAATCCGTTAATGTTGCTTAGAAAGGAGAGAAACTAACTTTCGCAATTCAAAGCTTCAGATTGTCATGTCTGAAGTCTGTAAAGATTTACGCATGTTTGGCCCAGAAACTATTTTTTATATTTTTATCAAAAGATGATCCTTCAAAAGACCTATTAATGAAGTGTATGCCACTCTTCAAAATAGAGAAGAAATGGGAATTTCCAAATTTATTATAAAAAATGTCCTCTTCCCTGAAGAATGAGGAGCTTACCCATTGAATAGAAAAGCCCTAAAAGGTGAGATCAAACCAACTTCAAGATATTATAATGAATTTGACACAGTTAGATTATGTAGAAACACATTACAAATTGATTTCTCATCATTTAATAAGCAGCAGATTACCATAACAAAACATTGACGATAATCAGTTACTTGGACTTGTAACCAAGATAGTAAACAAACTTCGGCACATGTATATTAATAGTATTAATTATTTTGTTTTCCAGCAAAATATGAATAGTTCTATTTACATGCTCTTGGTTGATTGTTGCCAGAGATGTGAGATTGTACGACCAAGATATCTCATTAAAAGCAACTTTTTTAAATTAAACACAAAAGAAACTTTGAATACCACTAGTTTCATATATGAAACTTCGTAAGTACAATCTTAGGAATCAAGCAGGCTCATAGAAATGATAGAATGAGTTGGCAATTACCAAATGTAAATACCAGTTCTTTAAACAAGTGACACATTTGAGGAGAAAATAGATATGTTGTAAACCAATAAACCTGCATACCTTGCCACCAAGAAATGCAAATGTATCAGCTGCAATTATGCTGCTTATGGAAATCAAAGTTGCTACAAGACCAACTGTCCAATGAGCTTGACCACCAAGAAGTACAGGCCATGTTGCTCCTATTCCTACAAAATGTTAATCTATTAAGGACATTCAGATCCTAATTCAAACCACGTAGAAAAAAGGGGTATCAAAATATGCTCAATATAATATGCAGAAGTTAGCTTTCATTAATAAATTCTATCTAAAGGATCAGACACCAGTGGCATGTGCGGTAAAATAACATATAGAAAAATGACCAATGGAAATAGGCTTCCTGAATAAAGTCAAACGAGGAACTTGATTCTTTGTTGAATTGAACATCAGAGCTGCTACTACATCAAGTCAAATTTGAATGCAACCTCACATCATGGTAATGCACACAAAAGCAAAACGGGTAGAATATATAAACTAAGCAGGTTTCTACTTCTAGACTAGAGAAGTCCAGGTAATATACAAGGAGAAAAAATATCAGACTTGCTGCAATGGTCCCTTTAGTTCATGCTATTGAAATTTAATTTACTTCCAGCCATGGCCAATGGCAGATTTCAAATAAAGCATTTAATTTTCAACTAAACTACTTCTATGAAGGGAGAATGCACTTGGATTCACAAATATTGAAATCAGAAATAAATAATCAGTGCGATTAGTTAGTTATTTCAAAGGTAAAAGATAAAGAGTACAGTAATAGACTATATTATTCATGTTTAATTGACCTTCCGCAAATGGTTACCAGCAATAACAATTTACAGGTACTATAGTTTAAACATGTCAGAGAGAAATTAAATCTTTACATTTATTATCCAGATTACAAATACTCCAATTTCCAAACATCAACAAAGTAAGTCGGCAAATATTGTGACAACATTATTCAGTAAAAACACTCAAAATAGTTGGGGGGAAATTGAAACCCTACTTAAAAAAAAGTTGAGATATAACAATCAGAACATTGTTTGGTAAAAATGTAACTACAAATGCTACATTACAGATGGCACATTGACTAATAACCGTTTTGTTAAAATATAACAAAACTATGGTGATAATCAACAACTACTACTACAAAGAGATAGAACTAGTGACTTCCGTAAGTTTATAGTTTATATTTGATTATAAAGAAATACATCTGACCAACCCCAGATCCACAATGGACAACTAAAATTGAAAGAGAACTAAAAAAGTCAATTGCTTACTTGTGTTCAAGGCTGGAGCTGCTAAACCACATCGAAGCTTAACCCAAAAGCAGGGAAGATATCCACAATAAAATAGCCCAAAGATGGCACTACTTAGCTGTGCAAAACGGGGACTTCCTCTTTGTAAGAGTAATGCCATGGCTAGAACAAAAGCAGCAGAAGTCACAGAAACATCAATATGACCTCGATACCTGGCATGTTCAGAAATACCAATCAATCAGCAAGCAACAACAATCTACCTTCCATATACTAGAGATTGTCAGATGTAAGCACTAATGGAAAATTAAGGCACACTAACCAATCTTACATGATAAACAACGGCATTAAGGCACAGATGATAGAGCAGACTCGTGACACATAGCGCGGAGGTGGTGTCATTCCTTCAGTAATTCCATGACTCCGAACCAATTCAAAATATTCCCGTGCGCCAGCAAAGACAGCAGCAGCCATGGCAACCGTGAAAACCCATCCACCGGCCAAAACAACACCACCCACGGTAATCCCAATGCCAAGTCCAAAGACAATTCTGTTCCTTAACTGACTAACCTGCTGTTCAGATTTCAAGAGTAAATCCTCCTACAGGGGAAATTATGGCTTCCATTAACTCCTCAGGATCACTCACTTCAGTTACTATGTTCCGTTAAACATGCATGCTCAGAAAGTAATAAAAAATGAAAGTGTATAACCTAACATAGCTTCTCATTGGTTCTTTAAATTTTCCAGGTGTTAAAAGCTTCAGCAAGTTCTCACCATTGAATCAAATCCAATCCACTTCGAAATTCATCATTTAATCCACATCAAAGGAACAAAACCAAAATATACCCATCGTTTTACACTGCTCTAGCACACAAAATTGAAATGGCCTTTTATTTTTTAAATTAAAAAAAATTAATATTAATTATCCATAACTTGTTTCATAGAACCCAAAATTCAAGACGGTATTGACCAAATTAACTCCTAATTATGCACAACCAAATGAAATGAACACAATTTGAATGAAATTCTCAATTACGTCATTGAATTGAATAACCCCTACCCCGGTCTCCAGCAAGTACCTTTTGGGCATTGGGTTGTGGAAGACGTTCCGGTTCAGCCTGACCGACGGCCGCAAAAATGACGCGCGGGTTAGCCAGTGAGCCGGTTCGGCGGGTGAACCGGAGGATGGGTTTTCGTTTGGTGAAGAAGAAAGCGATTGGGGATGGAAGGTGAAGATGGTGATGGAGAATTAGGGATTGGGAAGAGAGGGGAATGAGCATGGGATTAGGGTTTGGTCTGGGAAGGTAGTGGTGGTGGTGGTGGAGAGAGAGCGAGTTGGTGAGTTGAAGTTGAGCCATGAGACCGAGTTGATAGAATAGAATTGAATAGAATACAAGAAAATGGAAATGTACATAATTGGATGCAGTAGTCGTAGACACCAACCAGGTTGTCGTGAAAAACGATAAATTTTCCTGTCGTTCACGTACAGTGAAATTTTTCATAAATAATAACAGGGAAGAATGTTTGTGCCTTCAAATAATGGGAAAGATATTGTAACAATCAAGTTGTGTGATGGTTATTACTAATTAATTTCACTGTTAGATTGATTATGTTGATCCAATAATTATATTTGTTTCTATATTTGTATGGTTATGATTCTTCATATTTAAAGTGAAAACATTAAATATGGAAAATCATAATCATACAAAGGTGGAAATAAATATAAAGTATTAAATTTCGAAAATCATGACCATACAAAGATGGAAATAAATATAATCGTTGGATCAACATAATTGATCTAACAGTGAGATTGATTGGTAGTAACATGGTAGTAACACAACTTGGTTGTTACAATATTATTTTCCTTAAAATAATATAATTTTAGAGAAAGGATATACTTACAATCTTTTTTTTTACAACCTCTTACAATAATATCTTCACATCGAACGGTTATGATTTTCCCAAATTAAACTCATTAATTAATTATTAATTCACAATAAATGATAACAGTTGATTGGTGGAAATCAATTGTGTTAAGATATGGTTGTAAAAAAAATGTTGTAAGTATAACCTTTCTCATAATTTTATATCATTTTAAATTTTAACCGTTGATTTTTGTCAATCAACAATTAAAATTTATTAGATTTTATTAAAAATTATTAATTAACGAAAATAACGGTTATAATCTAAAATGACACAAAGTTATATTCTTTAAAAATGAAAAATATTTTTTCCATAATATTAAAAAATATATACATAATTAATAATTAATTCATATTGAATCTTAAAAATATATATTAAAAAATTATTTAAAATTAAACAGTTGGACAAAAATTTAATGAAATCAAAACATTTTCAAACACTATGTAGCTGTTTATTTATTTTATTTTTTTTGTTGTTGCAAAAAGTAGTTTTTTTAATTATAAGCATGTGTAAACAATTTTCAAATATACTTATGGTTTTTGTTTTCGTTTGGTCTTGATTGATGAGTGCATTTACGCCAGTCAACATGTCAGACTGACCAGTCTGGAACTGCAGTCCACCTGGCATAAAATGCTGGGTTGCATGGCATGTTACGTGGCATAGTCGCCACACTGCCTAGTGTCTTACGTGGCAACTACCTTGCCACAAAACACATGTTTGCCACCTGTCAGGCTGTTGGCAAAGACGTTGTGCAGTCCAGCGACACTGAGCAGGTCCCACTAGTATAAAATTGTCCCCCTCCCCCCTTTTCCCCTTTTCCCACTTCCTTTTCTCACGCCGGTCCCTCATCCCCTCTTTTTTGACCCTACTCTCCCGTACTCTCTCCAAAAGGTTAGTTTCAATCATCCCCTCTTTTTTTACCCCACTCTCTCATGCTCTCACCAAAAGTTTAGTTTCACTCAACTATTTGTAATTTTTAATATTATTATTTTATATTAGATATTTGTTTAAATATTTTTGTTTTAAATAATTTGTTATAGGACTTAAAATCATAGGATAGATGAAATTTTAGTAATTTGTTAGTTTTTATTAGTGTAGGGATTAAAATCTAGGGATGCAAGATTTATTTAATATTTGTTAAATGAGTGATTTAGGTTACGTAAAATTATATGATTTTGAATTAATTTTAAAGGAAAAATTAAAATTATAGGATAATATATTTTATATTATTAATTTTAGATGTTGGATTTAAATATAAATAGGATTTGAACATTGGATTAAATATTTTTGTGTTCAATAATTTATGTTAATTAAATTTATTTTAGGACTGTAATCCCTAAGATAAATGTCTTAACTTTTTAAATGAATAAGGTTGTTGGATTAAATTTATTTGAAGATATGAAACCCTAGGACAGTTTACATAATTATGTTTTTCACTACATTAATATTTTATGAATAACATGATTAATTTATTTATATAATTTTTTGAAATAGATTCATGGATTCCCCGCCTGATTCACTACTTCGCTCACCTCCTCGTGAGAAGCATGAGCTTGCAGCTCCTGGTTCTCCAGGATCTCCTCATAGCTTCATTACACCGGGCCTCATTGACCCCTCTCTCCTGACATTACAGGAGAAACACATTTCCACATACGTGTGGAATGGCAAGGGCGATCAGCGCCTTAATATCAGACACGCTGCCATACATGACTCGTTTAACATACTGAGGAGATCAAGTCATACTTGAGGCAAGCTGGATTCTTTCACGTTGTGTGGCTGCACAACCACGATGTGAGCATTCATTTATTGGTTTTTTTGGTTTAGGGGGATTAATTGTAATAATTAGAAAATATAACCCATTTTTATTGTTTCAGATTGACCATGCTCTTATTTTCGCACTTGTCGAGCGTTGGTGCCCTGAGACGCAGACTTTTCATATGGCACATGGAGATATGACGATCACCTTGGAGGATGTACACCATCTGTTGGATTTGCCCACAGATGGTGAAGTTATCTCTGGCCGTGTTGGACAGCATGATTGATGGTAGGTAATATTGCAATACCTGGAACTTGTGCTAGCTGCAAATCGAGATCTTACGGGTGGTCAAGTGAGCCTGCAATGGTTGCGTCGGGCATATGGTGAATATGATCTACATGTTGGGACGGTTGTACAATGCATTATGTTCACATGCGCATTAATCATGCGCATATTGGGGGAATGTTGTTTGTGGAGACTGCCTCCAGTTTTATGCCAGCACGATTTTTACTATTTTCGGATGATTTTCAACGGACAGGGACTTTTAGTTGGGGTTCAGCTATACTTGCCCGCCTATATCGCGAGTTGTCTAGTGTGACAGATATAGCACGCTCGGATATAGATGGATGTGTTTTGCTTCTTCAGTTGTGGGCGTGGACCCGATTGCAGAGGATCTCTCCCAGAGTCCCGAAGGTTGTACACGCAGATGCCTTTTGCGGTCACAGGTATGAACCTAACTACATTTAATAATTTTTATTCGCTATCATTATTGCTCATTGTCAACTTTTCGCGTCTTGCAGATTTAATGTATATGATAGGCAGCAACATCGATCCGCCAACCTGACCAGGATTCGTCATCGACTGAATGTCATATGCAGGACTTGTATGTTTATTTAGTTCTTTCTCATGATATATTTTTACATCCTGAAGAGATAATATGAAATCATTTCTCAAAAAATTATCAACTGCAGACTGATCGAGTGGAGACGATCATTTGTATGGTGTCACCTTAGTCTCGGGATGCATTCTCATTCAATGACCTACTTCACGAGGTAGAATGGACTCTGACAGCCATGCATCAGGTTGACAGGACCACTAAGCCTGGAGAGGATTTTCCTGAGCCTACTATTCGTAGCATACATGACCCACCCCGTGAAGGTCATTAATCTCGACGTGCGCAATATAAGGGACATCCTTTGCACCACAGTCGTGTGGCCGTTGCAGACAAGCTTATTCCTATTCCAGCTATTCCACAGTGTCCCCCTGGGTTATTCTTTTCTCCCGAATATCCAGTAGGAACTTCGAAGCCGTATTTTTGGCCTACTAGGTCTACACAATATAATGCACCACCTCCCACCAATCAGCATGGATATCCCGCATTTTATTCGGCCCCGCCACTCGTGTTTAGGCGTATCCAGCCCCGATTGTGCCCATATATCATGGAGGGGGAGTGCACAACATACCTAGGGCTTAGAGGACTTTATAGACGGATACAAGCCCAACCTAGAGGCCCCTTACATGGCCACACCCACATCATTTTCCAGTAGTTCCATATTGTCCCCTCATGGACATTCATCACCTCAAATGTCGCGAGAGAGTTTAGAATGACTCTTGCATGAAGATGATGGTATGGACGGTGCTGCGCAGGCCGACGATGAAGATGGTATTAGGAGGAAACCTGATAGGGCAGCCAAATATTGGTGAAACTTGTCCATTTTTTTGCATGATACGAGATTTGTTAGGGGTGATCATTGACTATATGGACTTACTTCTGTGGTTTTGCATATCTTATTTTTGTAATGTATGATGATGCACTATGGACATTTATGACTTATTTTTTTTTTTTAGTTGTGATGTATGATGATGCACTATGGACATTTATGACTCCTTTCATTAGTTATGCATTTCAGTTATGACCTTCATATAATATTACATTATTCAAAATACATAGGAATATGGACACTTAAATATCATCATCGCTCATAAACTAATAACTAATAGGAGGTACTTAACCGTAAAAGATGAATGCTCGTAAACAATCATCCTTGCTCTATTTGCTGCCGTGCATTACATTGATGCCATGTGTCCAACTTGTCTACAAAAACTGCATCGCATCCGAGTCGTTAACCCTTCTCGTATGTCCATCTCATTACGTATACGGGTGCTTTTAGGCCTTCTTTTTTGACGCCTCATCGATACATCTGGGATTACTATTAGACCATCACTGGGTGGTATGAAGTCCTCATTCTCGATTGGGTACCATTGCCCTGAGTATATGTTACATTGATATGCGGCACTATAAACAGGATCAATGTATTGCATTGGATCATGGTTTGTAGTTGTGCAAGCTGCTATCACATGACTGCATGGGTACCTAAAAGTTGTAAATTCACCACACCAAAATATTCGATCAGATAATGATATCGACTATTTCTTTTCGCCCTGATGCTTACGTTGGTTGTATATTTCTTACACTTCAAACCTTGTCTTCTAAGGATCATAAAACGTCACAAAATGTGTTGCGACTTTTTGATGATTTGCATCATATGCTTGCCAAAGTACTTTGGTGTGTCGAATGCCCTGAGATATATCCTTATGGGCCTATTGGCCATGATTCATGTAACATCCCGAGCACTGATGAGGGTGAAGAGTGATCGCCGATGCAAAAGGGCATAGTGCGAAAGAGCACAGATAAGGAGTGACTCCTGGCAGGCTTCTAGCGGGGGTTACATGAATGAATGGAATCCATACCCGAAAGAGAG